TACAGTGATTTTGATGTGGGGACCTGTAGTAGGGAGTTCCAGTCTCCAAACAGAAACCAGCAACAAGTATCTTTAGAACTCTTCTTCAGGTGACATAATAAAAACAATAGATTGACATGTCCTGTGAGGAAGTATGTGAGATGTGCTTTATAGAAATATACAGATACAGAAGTACATATGTCACATGTGTGCAGCTCAGTGAGTGGGTCTGTGCACTGTCACCTGGATCACGAGACAGAATTCCTTTACCTCCTTTGCCCTCTTCCTGTCAGTAACCTAGTTCTGACACTTAACAGCATAGAATAAATAATTGTGCCTCTTTCATGCTTTATAAGTGGAACACATACAGTATGTGCTCTTCTGTACCTTTTGCTCCACATTATGCTTGTGAGCTTCATGCATGCTCTATCTGCAGATGAAGGCCACTCCTTCTTAGACTTGTGCAATAGTTTACATGAATATACTACAATTTATGGATCCATTTTACTGCAGGTGACAGTGTAGGTGTTGGCTATTATGGACAGTGTTGCTGTGAATATTCTCACCATGTCTCTGGTTGGACATAGGGAGGTATCTCTGTTGGCATGTACCTAGGAGGGCAGTTATGAAGTCAGGGGACAAAAATGTCCATCTTTAATGGATCCTGCCAATGCAGTATTCCCAAGAGGTTGTACCTCTGTACCTCCTTACATTTAATAAAGTTCAAAATTCCCCTAAAAGATAGATATGATCATTCCCCCTCCCTTTTTGGAGGAACAAATAAAAACTCAATAGCCCAGAGTTAAATACTTACAGTAATGGGAGTCTGTCCAAAGCCCACAGAATTCCTCACCTCCCTGAACTCATTTCAATCTTGGGAGAGCTCATGCCTTGACCTCCCTTACTGGCTCTGGTTGCACCTTGGCAGATGTACTAAGGTAGAACTGAGTGTGGTGTGGTGTCAGGAGGGGTGTAGATTGGGAGAAGGAGCAAATTTCTGAGGCTGTCATATAAGAGCAAGCCTCCATCCACTTCGAAGACACACACACACACACACACACACACACAGAGAGAGAGAGAGAGAGAGAGAGAGAGAGAGAGAGATGCTCATATCCTATGTCTTTGCCCAAGTATGGGGACAAGTGGGTACATCAAGCTTTGGTAATTGGGTGGGCAGGACATGAATCTCAGGTTTCAGAGAGTTCTTCCAGATATGGATGGGGCCCTAGGTGATGAAAGTTTTTGTTGACTTCTCAGTGACAATACATTTGATGGTCCAACATTAGGAGTACATCAGTCAGGATTCTTGCTCAAAACCCAACTCAAATTTGCTTAAAAATCAAGAGTTTTGGTCATGTGTGACTAATTAGAACAAATTTTTTAAACAAATGAAGTTTGGCTCAGGTAAAGAAAGTCTTAGAATTCACTGGGCTTCTGTCGTGGCTGGATCTAAGTGTTAGGACCTCTAGGAATCTCTCTCTAGCCATCTCTAGGCTCTTATTTCTTCTTTGTTGTCTTCATTCCTAGACTAGATCTTCTCCTATAATAGCTGTTGTGCTTGTCATCAAGTCCGGACTTTCCTCTCATAATATGACGACATGATACAAAGAAAGAAGGCCCTTCTCCCAATAATTCCAGTAAAAGTCCCAATTTGATTCAGTTTGGGTCAAATCTAATCTATCTCCAGACAAATCACTGTGACCAGGAGAGTGGGGTGTTCTCGTTGGCTAAACTGGGTCATGTCACCCGTGATTGGGGTGACCTCACCTGAGTGACACAGACTGAGGTTACCATTTACCTGCCAAATGGGATGAAGGGTGGCAAAACCAATAGAGTCATTAGAGGGCTTTTTCAGTCCTGCTGGAGGGCAGAAGAGGGAAGCCCACAAGAAGATTCTAGAGGGAAAACTGGCAAGCCCATGCCTTCCCAGCCATTCCTGGCTCTAGATACAGCCCTGACTCGCTCTTGAGTCTATGTGACACTCAGCTAAAACTCCATGGCAGTTGGAAAAGGGAGAAAAGAAACTGGAAGGAGGGGCTGGGGAGGGCAAATGGCAGCCAGATCTTCTGAGCCATCCTGGTGGCAAATGGCCCACATGTCAGAGTTGTGTGAGCCCCCCCCTGCCTCCTGAGCAGCCGGATTGTGAGACATTTGCAAAGATGTTCACCCCACATAAAGAGTGTACTGATCCATAATTATGTAAATTAGTTGGCAATTAGATAATGTCACTCACTTTCCCTCTCTTGCTCGATTCCCACACAACAGATAAGTGTTTTGAGTTTCTGCACCAGTCGGGGGCCCTCTGTGGGGGCTCTGGGGCAAACCACTTGCACCCATGACTTCTTGCGCCCTTCTGTGGCTCAAGAGAGGGTGGAAGTTGGCTGAAAGGGTGAAGAAGGATCTCTGGCTCCCAGTGTCCCATTTCTTGAGCCTGGCATGCCCCACTGGATGGCTAAAGAAGGCTGAAGAATGACTGTTGGGGATGTTGGCTGGAGACCTGTGATAGTTAATGTAGGATCATCTCTACCTTTTGGCCATATTGGCAGTTTCCCAGAAGCTGTGGAAATACCCACAATCCAAGAAAGAAATTCAAAGTTTGGGGGGTGGGGGACAATGTGGATAGACCATAGGGTGTCAAGTCTAGCTAGACCAGTTCTGATTCTCCCATTCTTGAAAACAGATCCACCGTCATCTGTGGGCAGGAGAGCTTAATTTTCCTGTCAGCCTTTTTGATTCCTCCTGTTGCAGGTTGGGGGAACACTTGTGTCTCCAAGGTTGGTCTGCGCTGGAGAGGAAGGGAGAGAGTCTGAGGGGGAAGTTCACCTGGGCAGGATTGAGTGGCCACCCCCAAAGCTGGCTGGGTAAATTCCCATGACCCTCTTCCATGGGGGAGTGTTCCTGGGCAGAGTATGGTTTTAAATTTATGGGTTTCCCCAGACCACTGAGTAGGTACTGGTTTGTTCTTTGAGGTTATGGGGATTCAGGATTGCTGTGCTTGTGTATAGTGGGGTCATGTGGAGGCCTCAGGGTTGCTGGTTAGCTTCTGTTTTACTGTTCATGACAAGCCCCTGTGGCAAGCCCCTGGTGAGGCAGTTGCTTCCCCCAGACAGCCCTCCACCAAGCTGTCTGGTTCCAGAGCTGGGCTTTAGTGTATCTATAAATATACTGGTCTCCCTCCAGTATATTATAGATACAGTATAATATACTTTGTGACACCCTAAGGGTGAGAATGGTGTATTATTCTGCAGTAGTGCCTGGAATGAACTGGAGCTCTGTGAACAATTGGAGAGAGTTCCTCCTTTGACTTGGTTGGCATACCTTGCCTAACACAATGATCCCATGCTTAGAGATTTCATCTCTCCTGATCTTTCCCTGTGAACCTGCCTTCCACTCACTCCACTCCAATAGCACCAGCCTCCTGCAGATTCAACTTTTGGACTGGCTATGACTTCTGGAACATTCTTCCTAGATATTCACATGGTTAATTCCCATGCCCTCTTTCAGGTCTTTCCTTATACCTCACCTTCTTACAGACTGCGGTTTGTGGTGTTTGCCTATTTCCATGGTGTAAATCCCCCTAAGTAGTTGATCTCATGTTACCAAAGTGATATGAACCCGCAAACTTTTCTGAATTCTTAGAAGTGGGATTTCATAAGCCCATAGGGGTTGGCACCAGCATGCTCCTGTGTTCATGTTCCAGTTAAGTATCCCTATGCCACCAGAGATGCTTGTGACACAGGTACACTGCATGGATAAACCAGTCTACAAAACCAAGGCTTTCCTTATGATGGATTTAACCAGCTTTTGTTGATGGGGTTGGTTTGTTCCTGGGGAAGGGACAGAATCTTCCTCTTCAAAGCATGGGCAAATACCAGCTTTGTTGGTGTTATCATTATGAAACACTGCTGGGGACCAGGGTGAATTATCAAGCATGCCAAGTAATAACTTGGAAATTATACACACTGCTGTATCTGAACAGAAAACTCTCTACTTCTGCTTGATGGGCCAGTGTCTGCCCTCAGAAACCAAGTCACTAATGCATCTGAGTACTGGTGCGTTTCTAATCCTTGTATCCTACACATCACATACTCTAGGTCTGTGCATTTCTTGACTATTCAGTTGTTACCCATTCTCCAGTTTTCATAATTTCTTAAAGTATTGTGTTTTCATGTGGTACCCTCTCTCCACTGACATACACACACCCACCTACTCAGATATGCACTAACAACCTTCTTTCTACCCCTTGCCATTCCAGAAATTAAAAAAGGAAGCCTAGCATTTACTGATCACCTACTATGCATAAAATCTTTTGCTAAGATCTTCCCATATCTCCTCATGTAATCCTCCCTTCAATCATGAAAAGAGGCTGTAATCTTCTCCACTTTCAAATGTGAAAAATAGAATCTGAGATAAGACATTTTCTCAAAGTTCTACACTACAGGAACTAGAAATTAAACTCTGCCTTTTACATTATTTAACCTCAAAGCACATTTTTTCCCCTGTAAGAGCTTTTCTAATATTTAGAAACAGATGAGGCTTGTCATACTTACTGCTCACCTTCTAATTCATGGGCACTGATTTTTTGAAATACTTCTTTCAAAAATTTAAGGGCAGGAATCTATCTTAGGCCCACCCAAGCAGTGGATTGTCAAATTGAAAAAGTAAAAAAAAATCTTTAAAAAATGATGTATTTTAATAGGTGGATAAGTGAAAATTATGTGTATTTGAGTGTGTGAAATGTTAGCACTTAGGGATAAATTTTGGCTATGTGACTCTGTGGTATGAATATTATAAAATGTGCTGATATGGCTTTGGGGTTTAATACTACTTTTGCAGCCTAGTGATCCTTCTGAGTGGGGCTGGGGTCCTGCTGGGGCTGGGGAAGACCCAGGCCCTCCTTGATACAGGAGTCCCTGTCTTCTGGCCCTCACTCAGCTGGGAAATAGGATGCAGTCTTTTCCGACAACACATGTCCTAACTTTCCTCTCCTTCTCTCTTCTCCCCCTCCCCTTCTTCCATAGGTCTTTTCTCCGGAGTCCTGGGAGGTGGGTTATGGGCAGGCCTGCCCCTGGCTGGCACCATGTCGCCTGAGTCTGCTTGCGCCCTGCGCTGGGCCCGGCTCTTCCTGAGCACTCAGCTTCTCTCTGCTTCCCTTCCTGCGGCCCGCCACTGCTGAGGAGGTAGACCCTCAGGACTGCCCTTGGCATTTCTACCTTTCGCCCAGCTCACCTTGCTGCCTGCTCCTCCTCCATCACGGCACCGCTGACCTCAGCCCTGTCCCCGGCCTCCCTGGCTGGGGCTTTCGGGGGTCCATTGGGAGGATCTCGTTGCTGAAGGCTTCCTCCTGCACCGCGCCTTCTCCTCCTCAAATCAAGGCCTCCGGATCCACATGGATAGCTGAGATCTTGTCTTGGAGAAAGACACTCGTCCTCACCTTCCCACCCAGTGCCATTCTCTCCTGTCTATTTTCCTGCCTCTTTACTGGATTTCTTGCTCGTGCCCATCTGGGACCGTCTTGTTCTCTTTCCTCCTGCTTCTCCCTCTTGATATTTGTGTGTGTGCCTCCTTCCTCCTGTGTGTTCTCTCTTCCCACTCCTCTGTCTTGTCTGCCTCTCTCCCTTCCACCACCAAAGGGAGATCCTTCCCCTGTTCCTGGCCTGTGCTCCTCAGGGATCTGTGCCCACAGCCAGGATGAGCTTCACCCTCCACTCAGTTTTCTTCACCCTCAAGGCCAGCATCCTGCTGGGGTCCCTGCTGGGGCTCTGCTTGGGCCTGGAGTTCATGGGCCTCCCCAACCAGTGGGCCCGCTACCTCCGCTGGGACGCCAGCACGCGCAGTGATCTGAGCTTCCAGTTCAAGACCAACGTCTCCACGGGGCTGCTCCTCTACCTGGACGATGGTGGCGTCTGTGACTTCCTCTGCCTCTCCCTGGTGGATGGCCGCGTTCAGCTCCGCTTTAGCATGGACTGCGCTGAGACTGCCGTGCTGTCCAACAAGCAGGTGAACGACAGCAGCTGGCACTTCCTCATGGTGAGCCGCGATCGCCTGCGCACCGTGCTGGTGCTGGATGGCGAGGGCCAGTCTGGGGAGCTACAGCCCCAGCGGCCGTACATGGATGTGGTCAGTGACTTGTTCCTTGGTGGAGTCCCCGCTGACATTCGGCCTTCTGCCCTGACCCTTGATGGAGTACAGGCCATGCCCGGCTTCAAGGGATTAATCATGGATCTCAAATATGGCAACTCGGAGCCTCGGCTTCTGGGGAGCCAGGGTGTCCAGATGGAAGCCGAGGGACCCTGTGGTGAGCGTCCCTGTGAAAATGGAGGGATCTGCTTCCTCCTGGACGGCCACCCCACCTGTGACTGTTCTACCACTGGCTATGGTGGCACGCTGTGCTCAGAAGGTAAGGTCCTCTCCCCTCTCCATTCTTGATAGAGATCCACCCATTGGAGTGAGTGAGGGCCCAGGTGCATGATAGAAGTGAGTTCTATGTTCAAGTGCATCTTAAGCTGCCTGTTAAAAGAGAATTGGGCCCTGAGGAGGCAGAGGAAATCCTTTGCTTGCTCTCAATGGAAAAATCTATCAGATCTCAGCTGGAGGAGAATCCTGGCCACTCAACCAGAGGCTGTGTACTCAACTCAAAGGGCTACATGGAGAAGACTGAAGAGTCCTCTCCAGCTTGGCTCCTTCTGCTGCAGCTTGGCTCCTTCTGCTGCAGCATGGTTGAGCAGGATCAACACTAAACAAGAAATTAGATAAAAATTGGCAAAGTGGTTGTCTCTGTCCTCATGACCCTTTAAGACTTGGGTGCTTGGGGATTATGACCCCCAGCATAAGGAATGCCTGTGCAGAGAATGAGGGCAGATGGATTGCAGGGTCCTTGGGCAGCCCTGTTATAAACCCAACCCTTCTGTCACACCCTCAAGCTTGCGGGGGGGGGGTGGGGGGTGGGGTGGGGGGGGTATCTAGAAGGTTGTGAAGCCTTTCTCCCTTCTTATTCTAATAATGAGGATTTTTCACATGAGGACTTTGGATGTGGTTCCCTTTCCTGTCCTATCCACATTCCAAGAACAGTGCGGACAGGCACTGAAATTGACTGGATCCTTGTTTAACCAAGCCCTGCAAGCTTCTCCAGCATAGTTTGGAGCACCCTTCAAGTTCAGCTACCACTTCCCAGGGAGTAGGAGGGACGACGCTGCACAAGGGTAGGCTGCACTTGCCTTGTGCACTAAATTCTTTTGGGAATCAGATCTGGGAGAAGTGGCCCAGACTTTAATTTGACAAATGCTCAAAATACAAATTCCTAGACTCACCACCCACTTAGATTTAGGTAAGAGGGACCATCAAGGTGACCAAGTGTGTGGAAACTGATCAGACAGATATGTGTCTGGGGAGACTAGGAACTTGCCTTTCTCCTGTCCTTCCTGAGTTAAGCCTTGAATTCTCCTGGAGATGTTTTGTGTTGCCATCCGATGCTGGTCTCTTCATGGAGGTGGCAGCATGTTCTAGGGCAGGACAGTGGTCCCCAACCTTGGTTGCACTTTAGGATCACCTGGGAGAATTTAAAAACATCCAGGCTCTACCTAGGCTCACTTAGATTCCCAGGGGTAGAAATCCAAGCATCTATATACTTTTATATCTTCCCATGACTCTAGTATGCAATCAAGGGTAAGAACCAGCTGGTACAAGGTACAGGGAGGTTGAGGATGTGGTCAGGTGAGTGACTTGCTCCTAATTTTCAAGATCTCTTCATTCAGGTAAGGCCCCTCCGCCCTGGGGTTTTTGAGTAAGATTATGTTTACAAGGGTTTCTTAAACATTTCGGAAACAGCCCAAATCCTAAAGCAAGTTATGATTGATATGAATTTTAGGTACCAGTAGCTATTTAAAAATATTTAAAAAAATCAAAGTTTCTTCTGCAGGTGGTACATGCTGGATACTGGGACACATGGAGGTTTTCTTGGAAGCTGCATTTGGAGGTCATGCCTGAGTTGTTGCTGGAATGTTCCCTGAGGCTCACTTCTTTCCTGTACTACTGGGTTGGGCATCATATCTCCCTTTCTATGGGTGGGCTGTCCAAGAGGAAGATGCCAGACAGATACATTGTCCTTCTAGGGCTTCTCTTCACCCTTACTGAACTCATCAGGGAAAAGGTGGGCAAGAGGGGTAGAGAGAACCCCAATCCACAAAAATAACTTGGGGAATGTGATCATTGAAATGCTTTTCACAAGCAGGTGCCTTCTGGAGCTGACCAATGTTCCAGAGCTTCTTGTTTTTGGAAAAAGTTCTGCCTGAAGACGCTGACATGATCACTTGTTTTCTCATTTGCCCAAAGGATCTGTTTTGTTCTCAGAACGTGCATTGGAAGCTGGCATTCTTCCTTTCTAGGGACCAGGGTGTTTGCAAGTGTGTTGTTAACTTGCTGATTATCCCTGATTGCATTTTTTTGTGTTTAAAAAGAACTCATTTCCTCTGGGCAGGTTTGGATCAGCACTTTCCTGCAGAAAGAATCTCTATACTGTATATGTATACAATTTGCCTTTTCTCTCTTATTTATTTTTGTATGTGTGTGTTTTCCAGTCTCCAGTGGAATTTCTTCAGAAGAGATCATATGCAGTAATTGTTAAATAGCTGAATGCAATATGTGTATTTTAATAATTGTTCTTTCTACAAGGTTCAGATCACATCTTGGCCATGGATTGATAACTCTTATTTGTTGAAGGCAAACACACAACATTAATTATTTGTTCTCCTGATGCATACATGGAATAAATAAACTGTTTAACAGTAACATTTGGCCAGCCTGGAACAGAACCGTACAAAGGTTGAGGCAGGGATGGGTGGTGGGGGAAGAAACAGAATTTACTGTTGATAACTTGGAGTCCGATGATCCCAGTAATTGTCATAATAGTTAATCAATCACAAAAACGCATCACAGCGATTAGAAAATACCCACTGCCTCCACACATAGTTAATTTTTAGAGGAAGCAAAAAATTTCACCTGTGAAATATTAAGGGCAAAATCGTAGCAGCTGCTCAGTGTCAAGAAGTTCTGCATAAAACAAGACAAATAGCCGAAACAAATGCCTGCCCATTTTCCAATGGGAAATGAGATTGTAGCCATCCCTGTCCCCCTTAAATTGCACAAGGCAGAGAACTGAAACCGGAGGATGTATCCCCAGCGGTGAATATTATGTATCAAGTACCTGATCATCCCAACTTGCGGGATGGACCCTGCCATTTGATGGTGTGAGGGCTTGCACCTGGCATGGAAGATTTTTTAATGGCTTGGTGCTTTGGCAGTTCCAAGAATAGGGAGGGCTGAGGTTCTTGCCCCATCACACGGACATGGTCAGGACCTGTTGGAGTCACCCTTTATGGTCCATTAGCTAGTAACATGCCTGGGATGTTGCTGTGGCCTGTCTGGCTCTCCATGCCTTGATGGCTCCAAAATGTCCCCATGATGCACCCCAGGAAGAGTGCACAGAGAGACCCATCTCCTGTAGTGCTGCTTTGGACTATGCTGATTCCCTGTTGGGAAGACACAAGATATTGCTGTGGGAGATCTGGGCCCAGGGTAAGAGCTAAAGGATGCAGTATGTTCCCTTTCATTAGGTGTGCAATGGGCACACCTATTAGTCCTGGCCACCCACTGAATTCTGCACAGCTTCCTTGAGAAATCTTCATTCCAAGGCTCCCACCCCAATTAATAGTAACACTGAACATTATGGCATATGATGGATAGACGGAGAAGAGGTCCCAGATTTTTACCTGACAAATAAATACTTTGGTGTGCAACCAGTAGTGATCTTGGAGGACTGAAGTGTAGAAAAGTCAAAATGATTTTAAAAAATAATGCATAACTGGTTTGGAATATAGTCAATCAACAGCACAGCATGTTCACCTGGCTTTTTGTTTAGCTTATTCCTGTAATGGTAGCCTCCAGGCTGGAGAAGGGGTAGCCTCAGCTCCTTCAGGGAACAGCCTCTTCATGGGAAAGGGTTTGCCATTAACTTGAATTGAGTTTGAATTCGATTATTTTTTTTAAACATTCTTCGTTATGAATGTGCATGTATTGAATTTCTCAACACCCTTATGGTTGTGAAGCATTGATTCACTGCCAAGGTATATAAATTTCAGTACCAGTTTCCCTGAAGAGTCCATTTAACACAGAGTCAGGATGTTGCAGGGAGAGAGTAGAGCCAGGGAAAGGGAGAAGTCTCCATGAGTCCATCTCCGCTCCTGATCCTCATGACACAGGCCTACCTGTGTCACATAGCATTTGTATGACCAAAGTTTGGGATAAATTTAGTGAAATGTCCTATTCCACTGGCAAAGACAAAGTGGGTTCTGTGTCTGCTGCCTTCTCCTCCTGACTTGGGTAGCTGCCCAGACCAGAAAATGCTTGTCTTGAGTCTCAGCCATTGTTTTCAGTTGTCGGGATCCTGTGGTGAGGTACAGTGGAGGGTGGTGTCCATAGGGACCAGAGCCTTTTACAAGGGCACCATGGTGAGATATCCACTAGTGACCATCCCCCATCCCTCTTGCTACCTGAAGCTGACATCCTACTGAGGTTGTTTGATGTCTTCATGCCTCTGTGTGGCCTTCAAAATGAACTTAAGCTACTTTTCTTTTTTTGAGAATGGAGTGACTCTTCCCCCATCTCTCAAAGCCAGAATGAGGATGGGATGGCGTATACCCAGCAGAGACTGCTTATCCCTGAGCATTTGCTGAGGTCCAGAGATATCAGTTGAGTTACCAGTTGGGGGCACTTGAGTAAAAACAGTCGTGTCCCCTCCTTCTCCCCATTGCACACCCTGCTGACATTGTCACATGGCATTGTTCCTAATCTGTGTCAGCTATGAATGGCCTTGGATGGATGGGGACCACAGGGGAGTGGTGAGTAATCAGAGGGGAAAGGAGAATTCCTTTCTGAATGCCTCTCCCTGGGATGGAGCAGGTAGCACAGAGGTAAGGTCTTAAAACGTACACAAAGGAGGGACCTGCTCCCCGCCTAGCCTAGCATTCAGACTATAGATGGGATCAGCCCCGGCTCTCCACCAGCCCAGCCAGCCAGCAGGGGCTGTCGCTAAACGGAGCCTGAATAGGGGTCTGATTGCTCCTTTTTCCTCCTCCCCTCCTGATTACCAAGTGAGATTTCCTGGGTATGCTGTATGCTAAATGCTGAACAGCCGCCTGCCACTTGCTCCAATTATCCCTCTTTTAACTGCTGAGGGAAGAACAATTTTTCTAATCTCCCCCCCTCCTATAACATCTCTGCCTTCTTTAAAGAAATAAGACCCTTTTTCCTTGTTCTCCCTTCAGTGGGGCGAGCACAGCCTCTTCCATGACTGCACACCAGCTGTGAGCTGCAAAGGGGGTGGGCAGTGGGTACCGCTCTGGT